TGTCTGGGATGAGAACTTTGCACATGGAGATGAGCATTTAAGAACCTAAGAATCTAAGTAGAGGCTGCTGGATCAGGCCGGTGGCCCATCAAGTCCAGGACCCTGTTCTCACAGAGGAGGCCAACCGGGCGCCTCTTCTGGGAAACCTGCAAACAGGATTCGAGCACGTGAACCCTCACTTCCCTCCTGCAGTTTTACAATCCGTGCATTTTGTATACGTCAACACACAAACCCTCGGGTTCATTATATTCAGCGTTGTTAGAACAGGGGTCAGCAAACTTTTTCAGCTGGGGGCCGGTCCACTGTCCCTCAGACCTTGTGGGGGCCGGACTATATTCTGAAAAATAAATAAATGAATTCCTATGCCCCACAAATAACTCAGAGATGTATTTTAAATAAAAGGACACATTCTACTCATGTAAAAACACGCTGGTTCCCGGACCATCTGCGGGCCGGATTTAGAAGGCGATTGGGCTGGATCCAGCCCCCGGGCCTTAGTTTGCCTACCCATGCCCTAAGCCAGGGGTCAGCAAACTTTTTCAGCAGGGGGGCGGTCCACTGTCCCTCAGACCTTGTGGGGGGCCAGACTATATTTTGAAAAATAAATAAATGAACGAATTCCTATGCCCCACAAATAACTCAGATGCATTTTAAATAAAAGGACACATTCTACTCATGTAAAAACACGCTGGTTCCCAGACAGTCTGCGGGCTGGATTGAGAAGGCGATTGGGCCAGATCCGGCCTACCCATGTAGACGAATACCCTCCCATGAAGAGGCATTTTCCAATTCCCCCCAGGACCGTCCAGCTCTGACTGCCTTGACCAGCCTGGAAAGAGCACTGGCAATGTGCACAGGTGGTCCTTCTCATCTTTCCAAGGATGATGTCCAGCTTCATTGGCCTTCTTCATCAGAACAGCCTGCTTTGAGGGAGGCTGTTGGGGAGGACGGACTCCAGGTGTTAGAAATATGATTTGTTGCAGGCATGACACACTTGGAGGGGGATGCTTCCTCAGGGACACCATGTAGTGGTTAGAGTGTCTGCCTAGGGCCTGAGAGACCTGGGTTCAAATCCCCACTGAGCCCTGAAGGTTACTGGGTGATCTTGGGCCTCTCACTCCCCTCACAGGGTTGTTGTGGGGATTAAATGGAGAGGAGGTAAACCACGTACGCCGCCTCAAGCTCCTTGGAGGAGAGGTGGGGTAAAAATGCAATAAAGAAATAATACATAGGAAGCGGTATAAAAAGGTAAAGGTACCCCTGACTGTTAGGTCCAGTTGCAGACAACTCTGGGGTTGCGGCGCTCATCTCGCTTTATTGGCCGAGGGAGCCGCCGTACAGCTTCCGGGTCATGTGGCCAGCAAGACTAAGCCGCTTCTGGCGAACCAGAGCAGCGCACGGAAACGCCATTTACCTTCCCGCCGGAGCGGTACCTATTTATCTACTTGCACTTTGACGTGCTTTCAAACTGCTAGGTTGGCAGGAGCAGGGACCGAGCAACGGGAGCTCACCCCATCGTGGGGATTCGAACCGCCGACCTTCTGATCGGCAAGTCCAAGGCTCTGTGGTTTAACCCACAGCGCCACCCATGTCCTAGGAAGGGGTATAGTGAGCCCCAAACTGGATGAAGTAAAATGCTACATTTTCACCATGTCATTCCAAAGGAATGCCACACAAAAATTACGAAGTTGCTTCTCACATACAGTGGTACCTCAGGTTACAGACGCTTCAGGTTACAGACTCTGCTAACCCAGAAATAGTACCTCGGGTTAAGAACTTTGCTTCAGGATGAGAACAGAAACCGCGCGGCGGCGGCACTGGGAGGCCCCGCTAGCTAAAGTGGTACCTCAGTGTAAGAATAGATTCAGGTTAAGAACGGACCTCTGGAACGAATTAAGTTCTTAACCCGAGGTACCACTGCACTGTATATGGAAAGTCACCAAAGGAATGAAAAATGTATAGACCTATATCAAGAAAAATGCAATCACACACACAAAAAGGACAGCTTTAAAAAAGAAGATTTTTTTGGGTGGGAGGTGTCTGTCAGTGGTACTGTTTATTCTCTATCTGCTATTGTTGGCCACTAGCCACAATGGCTGTGCTCTGTCTCCACAATCAGAGGCAGCAAGGCTTCTGAATACCAGTTACTGGAAACCGCAGGACGGGAGAGGGCTGCTTTTGTGCCTGGATTCCTGCTTGTGGGTCTGGGGCATCTGTGAGGACAGGATGCTGAGCAAGGTAATAGTGCCACTGTATTCTGCTCTGGTCAGACCTCACCTGGAGTACTGTGTCCAGTTCTGGGCACCACAGTTCAAGAAGGACACTGACAAACTGGAACGTGTCCAGAGGAGGGCAACCAAAATGGTCAAAGCCCTGGAAACGATGCCTTATGAGGAACGGCTAAGGGAGGTGGGCATGTTTAGCCTGTAGAAGAGGAGGTTTAGGGGTGATATGATAGCCATGTTCAAATATATAAAAGGATGTCACATAGAGGAGGGAGAAAGGTTGTTTTCTGCTGCACCAGAGAAGCAGACACGGAGCAATGGATCCAAACTACAAGAAAGAAGATTCCACCTAAACATTAGGAAGAACTTCCTGACAGTAAGAGCTGTTTGACAGTGGAATTTGCTGCCAAGGAGTGTGGTGGAGTCTCCTTCTTTGGAGGTCTTTAAGCAGAGGCTTGACAACCATATGTCAGGAGTGCTCTGATGGTGTTTCCTGCTTGGCAGGGGGTTGGACTCGATGGCCCTTGTGGTCTCTTCCAATTCTATGATTCTAAGGTGTTCCACTGGCCTGATCCAGGAGACTCTAATTACTGTATTTTTTGCTCTATAAGACGCGCCAGACAATAAGAGCCACCTAGTTTTTGGAGGAGGAAAACAAGAAAAAATTAATTCTGAATCCCAGAAGCCAGAACAGCAAGAGAGATCTGGCTTCTGGGATAGCCTCTTGCTGTTCTGGCTTCTGGGATAGCCCGCAAAGCCTCCGCAGGGCAGCGGGATGAAGGCTCACCGCTGCCCTGCAGGCTTTTCTACAAAGAGGGAGAAGACTGATGCAGCCATTCAGTCCCTTCTCCCTTCGGGGAAAAGCCCCCAAGAGCTGTGCGCTCTTTTTAAGGGTGCACGGCTCCTGCGGGCTTTTCTACGAGGAGGGAGAAGGGACTGCCTGCCTCGTCTGTCCCTTATCCCTTCTTGGGCACACACATTTCCCCTTACTTTTTAGGAGGGAAAAGGTGTGTCTTATGGAGCGAAAAATACGGTCCATTCTTACGTTGCGCTGCCCTCGCGTTGTGTTTCAGTCTCGCATCTGTTGCTGTGTGTGTGTGTGTGTGTGTGTGTGTGTGTTTCACAACAGCGTCTTCTGCACATAGCTGTCAACGTTTCCCTTTTCTTAAGGGAAATTCCCCTATTCTGAATAGGATTCCTCGCAAGAAAAGGGAAAAGTTGACAGCTATGCTTCTGCAAGCCTCTGTTTCTCTGGCAGTGTCTGGAGCGTGACCTTCTGCCAAGAGACCCCCGAGGGAGAATGGACGGGGGCCGTGTTCTCTCAGGAAGCAGCCTGGTGCCAGAAATAGCTGCTGCCTTTCGCCCTTGCTAAGAATGTGCCAAAACTTTGAAAGCCATCAGGGAGCGGATCTTCCGATTCTGCAAAGAGTAAATTTCCACAGCGGGGCTTCTGTTTCTTCCCCTGCAAGCTCTCTCATAGACTCAAACAGGATGGATTTGATTCAAATCAAATCAATTTTAATCAATACTCAGTCAGACTTGATTTAAATCACTAGTCAGTAAGACTTGATTTAAATCATTTTTTTACAGAAAGATTCAACCTTGCTGGCATTCTCTTAATATTTACAACCAGATGAAGGTTTCATTTTTGGAATAATAAATTTTCGGAGTAGTTTTTACAGTTATATCAAAAATTACTGCTTTGGTTAAAGGTAAAGTTACCCCTGCCCGTACGGGCCAGTCGTGTCTGACTCTGGGGTTGCATGCCCATCTTGCTTAAGAGGCCGGGGGCCAGCGCTGTCCGAAGACACTTCCGGGTCACGTGGTTAGCGTGACAAAGCTGCATCTAGTGAGCCAGCGCAGCACACGGAAACGCCGTTTACCTTCCTGCTAGTAAGCGGTCCCTATTTATCTACTTTCGAACTGCTTTCGGGGGGTGCTTTCAAACTGCTAGGTTGGCAGGCGCTGGGACCGAGCAGCGGGAGCGCACCCCGCCGTGGGGATTCGAACCGCCGACCTGACGATCATAGACAGATAATTATGAAATTATTGTTTATATTTGGACAACTTTTCTGCTGTACTTTATTGGAAGGAGAAAAATAATCATTTCCTTAATAACAATTTAAACAATTTATTTAACCAAAGCAATAACGTTATAGCATATGTATCCATGTTTGTTAACCAATGTAGTTAAATGATTTTTTTTCTTTAAAAAAAACTTAGACTGAGTTTTAGCACAGATGAAAAACTTTAAGCAAATCCTTATTTCCTGATGAATAGCCTTTTGACTACAGTGGTACCTCAGGTTAAGTACTTAATTCGTTTCGGAGGTCTGTACTTAACCTGAAACTGTTCTTAACCTGAAGCACCACTTTAGCTAAAGGGGCCTCCCGCTGCCGCCGCGCCGCCAGAGCATGATTTCTGTTCTTATCCTGAAGCACAGTTCTTAACCTGAAGCATTATTTCTGAGTTAGCGGAGTGTGTAACCTGAAGTGTATGTAACTTGAAGCGTATGTAACCCAAGGTACCACTGTATAATGTAACTTAAATAGAAAATTATCTTTAGAAAGATTTTTCCTCCAAAAGCATTTTATTTTAAAAATCCGATTTAATTTTTTTTTTAATCTGATTTTTTTTTAATCATTGTTTTTTATTCCACCTGGGACTCAAACGGTTGTTAAGTTGGAGAGGTAGCAATCTAGTCCAACCCCCTACAATACAGGAGTCACAGCTAAGGAATCCCTGATCTCTTTTGATGCTTTCCTTCCTCTGCAGATGGAAGAACTGGTGGGTGAGAGGCATCCTGACTCTGGCGATGATCGTCTTTTTCTTCATCATCATCTACCTGGGACCCATGGTCTTGATGATGATCGTAAGTCTTTGTGGTCTTTCTGGAATGTGATCTTTTCCCAGTGGAGGCCTGGGGGTTCAGCAATGGCTTCCTCTTGCCGGAAGGCAGGGCTGGATTCCACCTCCTTGTGAGTTTAAAAGGCCATGGGGAAAGAGGAATGCTAAAACTATGTACTGAATGCTCCCAGCAAGATAATTCCACAAGCAGAGAGCCATCCATTGATCTCCTTGGAGAATAGCGTGGGATATAAATGTAATAAAAAGGTAAAGGTACCCCTGCCCGTACGGGCCAGTCTTGACAGACTCTGGGGTTGTGCGCCCATCTCACTCAAGAGGCCGGGGGCCAGCGCTGTCTGGAGACACTTCCGGGTCACATGGCCAGCGTGACAAAGCTGCATCTGGCGAGCCAGCGCAGCACACGGAACGCCGTTTACCTTCCCGCTGGTAAGCGGTCCCTATTTATCTACTTGCACCCGGGGGTGCTTTCGAACTGCTAGGTTGGCAGGCGCTGGGACCGAGCAGCGGGAGCGCACCCCGCCGCGGGGATTCGAACCGCCGACCTTTCGATCGGCAAGCCCTAGGCGCTGAGGCTTTTACCCACAGCGCCACCCGCGTCCCTATAAATGTAATACATAAATACAAAAAAATAAATGCAAGAATGCTTATTGTTCTCTTGAAGTGGCCTGGAAATTTATCAAAACTCGTGCCCCCCTGCTGTCTGTCTGCAAAAGCAGATTTAGGGGAACATGACTGGTTTGGTCGCACTGGGCGCAGAGTCTCAGGGGCACCACAACTATGATGTAGCATAGGCGTTGTATGTGAGTGCCAAATTTTGGTGTCGTACAGGGCACTTAGGAAATTTGAGACCCACTGCTGCTGTCTGCCTGTCTCTCGCTCTCTCAGGTGATGTGTGTGCAGATCAAGTGCTTCCAAGAGATCATCACCATCGGTTACAACGTTTATCACTCCTATGAGCTGCCCTGGTTCAGAACCCTAAGTTGGTAAGTGGAATCCAAGTTTGTGCTACCTGAGTTAAGCTCTAGAAGAAGTCTGGTTTCCTTGTTTTCCTTGAGGATATCTCTACGTAGCTCTATTCTTCTAAACAGCTCAAGGTGGCTACTGTTGTTAACGTTTTCCTTTATAACTGTTAATTTATGACTGTTACCCAACAGTGCGGGGAAGTGCATCATACCATATAGAAAGCAAACAATAAACAATAAGAAAAAGGAACCAATATAAATCAAGGCTCCTGTGTTTCCCAGGCTGGCATGGGTGGTAAATGTTGAGCATCTAAGTCTGAAACACAGGAAATAAAACCCTACCAGATGGCATAAAAGCCTTCTGGACCCTAAACACCCAGGAGACACACAGTTCATGTATTTTCTTTTCCTCACTGGCCAAAGTCCATAAGTTAGTACTGTAATTTTTCGCTCTATAAGACGCACCAGACCATAAGACGCACCTAGTTTTTGGAGGAGGAAAACAAGAAAAAAATATTCTGAATCCCGCCTGCATTTGCTCCATAAGACGCACACACATTTCCCCTTACCTTTTAGGGGGGGCAAAGTGTGTCTTATAGAGCGAAAAATACGGTACGCCACAAAGCTAAATGCAGACTTTTCAGGGTTTTCCATTGCTGGGCTACTGAAATCCTGGCTGCAGTCCACATCCGTGCCACCAGCAGGCGCTGCAAACATGGGTGGGCCACCCCCCAAGCAACTCACTTTTCATTGGCTCCACCTGCTGTCACTCCCTTCCCCAGCCACTGCTTTCTCTCTCGACCATTCTCTGCGCAGAGTGTCTCATTCCAATGGCTGGTGAGAGTTCCATGTCTAGCTGGGCTCTCAGCTGCCTTCACCTCAAGTCTGGAGGTTGGCTGAGCCAGGTGTTCATACCCTTAATTCCTAAAGGTATGGAGGGAGGGAGAGTCTTGACCTGGATGTGAGGAGCTTTTGAAGAGTCCTTGGGTGGGTGGGGGGAGCTGTTTGGGGAGCACCAGCTACTGCATCCCATAGATTGCAGGGGGTTGGACTAAATGGCACTTTCTGTCCCTTCCAACTCTACAATTCTATGCTTCTGTGGCCCCATTTGCATATCAACAAGAGTGGTTACCATTGATGTGATGTGTACATATCCTAGAGCCGTTGGCTATTAGAGGCAGGTAGACCTAGACCAGGGGTCTGCAACCTTTAAGACAAAAAGAGCCAGTTGGACCCGTTTCCGAAGAAAAAAAACTGGGAGCCGCAAAACCGGGAAGGTGACGTCGGGACGGTGCATGACTAACGCACGCACCGCCCCCATGCAGCGTCACAGCCAGTACAGCACCCGCCACAGTGGGGAGTGTCGGGGCGCACAATGCGCCTCCTCCCCTCACTAGTATCCGCCCCAGAGCCACGGCAAAGGTGTAAAAGAGCCACATGCGGCTCCGGAGCCGCGGGTTGCAGACCCCTGACCTAGACTAAGGTTACCAGATTTTTTTCAAAGAATCCAGGGGACACCCCCTCTTTTTTTTTTTTTAAAGAGGAAAAAAAAATTATTAAAAAAATTAAGAAGTAATACCTTCTCTTCTGTGGTCTCTTCTGTCGCGCGGCCTTCCTCTGGGCCCCAGCCTGCTGTCTTGGATTGCTGGTCGCCGTGGAGTAGCCTCAGGTCGGGCCTGGGCTCGGCCACGTGTCCTTGCCCTCCCGGTGCTCTCCTACCTCTCCTCTTTAGCGGCAGCATGGCTCCCCTCTTTTTTCTCCTTCCTCTTCCTCTCTCTTCCTTCTCTGGTCTTCCTTCTCTGGTATTCTGCTCTGGTCAGACCTCACCTGGAGTACTGTGTCCAGTTCTGGGCACCACAGTTCAAGAAGGACACTGACAAACTGGAACATGTCCAGAGGAGGGCAACCAAAATGGTCAAAGGCCTGGAAACAATGCCTTATGAGGAACGCTAAGGGAGCTGGGCATGTTTAGCCTGGAGAAGAGGAGGTTAAGGGGTGATATGACAGCCATGTTCAAATATATTAAAGGATGTCACATAGAGGAGGGAGAAAGGTTGTTTTCTGCTGCTCCAGAGAAGCGGACACGGAGCAATGGATCCAAACTACAAGAAAGAAGATTCCACCTAAACATTAGGAAGAACTTCCTGACAGTAAGAGCTGTTCGACAGTGGAATTTGCTGCCAAGGAGTGTGGTGGAGTCTCCTTCTTTGGAGGTCTTTAAGCAGAGGCTTGACAGCCATATGTCAGGAGTGCTCTGATGGTGTTTCCTGCTTGGCAGGGGGTTGGACTCGATGGCCCTTGTGGTCTCTTCCAACTCTATGATTCTATGATTCTCCTTCTCCTCTCCTCCTTCTCCCTGCGTCAGCTCTGGGGTTTTCTTGGCCCCGGAGTGCCGCTGGGCAGTCGACTGGGTGGCTGGGCACTCTCACTCCCGGCTCGATTTGGGTCGCGGTGGGGGGGAGTCAGTGGTTCCCCAAGTTGACGCGCCGGGCGTCCCCAGTTCCCCCTCAGCAGTGGCGGGGGCAGCAGCAGTTTCAGCAGCCCAGAACCAACCTGGTAGTTGGCTCTGGCTGGCTTCAGGAGCTGCTCGCTGCTGTGGCGCCTGCCATTTTGCCTCGCCGGAAGTCCCATATGATGTGTCTTCTGCTGTTGAACCAATCACGCAACATTCATCCCCTACTAATAAATCTACAACACTTAAAATATAAATCCAGGGACATTAAATGAAATCCGGGGGACATTCTGGGGACGGATTTTGTCCGGGGATGGATTTGTAAATCCGGGGACTAGGAATTAAGTATAAATAGATTAATAGAAAATTAAAGAAAAAAATAAGGTAAGAATGTGTTAAGATAATCAAAGGATAGAAAATAGAGGAGGATGGAAAGTAATTGCTGAAACAATTAATAGAAGTGGAATACAAAAAGGGAGGTGTGAGGAGGTTGTTGGAAATAAGCGAATGAAAGATAAGATACTGAAAATGTTTGAGGTGTTTTTAAACTGTTTTTGTTTGTTTTTATTTTGTTTTGTTTTGTTTAATATGTTGGTGTTATGTCGTGTTTTTGTATTGTATTTGTATTGTTCTTTTTCTTTTCTTTTTTTTTTGTCTGTAGTGTTGTGATGAAATTGTTGGAAAAGTAATAAATATCATTTTTTAAAAAAATAAATGTAAATCCGGGGACTGTCCCCGGGAAATGGGGACGTCTGGTAACCATAACCTAGACCAGCAATGTCCAACTAGTCAACCGCGATCGACAGGTAGATCGCTGAGGTGCTGCTGGTCGATCACAGGATTAAAAAAAGTGATTGCCTGGTTGCTCCTTAGTGATAGCTAACATCTTAGGTTTGGAGTACCTCAGGAACCCTCTGAAACCTCATCTCCCAGCTTTGAAATGTATTCCCTGCAGCGGACTGTTGGTCAAGGAATTTTATTTACAGATAGGTAGCCGTGTTGGTCTGCCATAGTCAAAACAAAAAAATTCCTTCCAGTAGCACCTTAAAGACCAACTAAGTTAGTTCTTGGTATGAGCTTTCGTGTGCATGCACACTTCTTCAGATACCTGAAGTATCTGTGTACCTGAAGTATTTCGTGTGCATGCACACTTCTTCAGTATAAGTGAAAGCTCATACCAAGAACTAACTTAGTTGGTCTTTAAGGTGCTACTGGAAGGAAGGAATTTTATGTAATCCTTTCCCAAAATAGCTGAACAGCTATGGTCAACCCCCCACCCCAAAGAAAGGCTTAACTACCCTTGCCAACAATTCCTAAAAAAAGCTCCACAACTCTGGTATCGGCCCCTAAAAAAAACCTCAACAACTATGGGCAATGACAACGGATAGATCACTGCCAGTTTTATTATACTTGATCACAGTCGCTAGAGAGTTGGACGTGCCTGACCTAGACAACCTTCTGGTGTTTTCCAACACCAGGATTCGATTAGTAGCTTGATCAGCTCATTCAACCCGTTGAAGAAGACTTTCCAAATTTGGTTGAAGTATTTCTCATGAAAGAAGCCTTCGGAGCCTCTCTGAAAAAGATGACGTATATTCTTTCAGGTACTTCCTGCTCTGTGTGAACTACTTCTTTTATGGAGAGACCGTGACGGATTATTTCTTCACTTTGGTCCAGAGGGAGGAGCCCTTGAGGATCCTTAGCAAATATCACCGCTTCATTTCCTTTGCCCTCTACTTAACAGGTAAGCGGGACTCTGGTCTCCCATTCGGGACTTAATGACACTTGAAGTGGGTTCTTCAAGGATTCCTGGAGCCAGGCGGGCAATATGGAGACACAGTGTCCTTTTCTCATTGAGCACCATGTTTTGATAGAAGCACAGTCTAGCCCAATTGCCCACTTGGTCTTATGCCAGCCCTGTGATTAGCCAGGATGTACTGATGGGGAGGAACACCAAGTTCTCATTTAATTAATTTCTCTGTTTCTGCTAGGCTTCTGCATGTTTGTTCTGAGCCTCGTCAAAAAGCACTATCGACTCCAATTCTACATGGTAAGAGAGATTTTCTCTTTTCAGAGATAATAGCTTGTGAAGGGAGAGAGAGAGAGACAGAGAGAGAGAGAGATGAAAAGGAGCAAGGCTGTTCTTATCTTGCCTTCCCCAACCAGATGCCCTCCAGATGTTTTGACTACAAGTCCCATCAGCCCTTACCAGCGTGGCCATTGGAGGGTACCAGCTTGAAGAAAGCTTTTTTTCTTTTTTTCTGCATTCCTTAAAACACTTTACGTATTTCCTTTGTGTTCAACGGATTGAAGAACGGGGAGGCCCACAACTCTTGCCAGTCTTAAAAGTTTATTTTGCAATAGCCTAAATCATCTTAAGAGGGACGTGGGTGGCGCTGTGGGTTAAACCACAGAGCTTAGGACTTGCTGATCAGAAGGTCAGCGGTTTGAATCCCCGTGACGGGGCGAGCTCCTGCTCCTGCCAACCTAGCAGTTCAAAAGCACGTCAAAGTGCAAGTAGATAAATAGGTACCGCTCTGGCGGGAAGGGAAACGGCGTTTCCGTGCGCTGCTCTGGTTCGCCAGAAGCGGCTTAGTCATGCTGGCCACATGACCCGGAAGCTGTACGCCGGCTCCCTCGGCCAGTAAAGCAAGATGAGCACCGCAACCCCAGAGTTTTCAGGGGTCCCTTTACCTTTAAATCTTCTTAAACACTTGAAAATGTATGATAATACACAAATGGATTAAACATGAATTACAGTGGTGCCCCGCAAGACGAATACCTCGCAAGACGAAAAACCCGCAAAACGAAAGGGTTTTCCGTTGCAGAGGCGCTTCGCAAGACGAATTTCCCTATGGGCTTGCTTCACAAGAGGAAAACGTCTTGCGAGTCTCGCCATTTTTTCTCTCGCTCCCCCCCCTTTTTCAAAGGCGCTAAGCCGTTAATAGCCTTTTAACAGTTTAGCCGCTAAGCCTTTAATAGCCGCTAAGCCGCTAAATCGCTAATAGCCTAATCCGCTTAGCCGCTAATGGGGTTGCTTCACAAGACGAAAAAACCGCTAGACGAAGAGAATCGCGGAACGGATTCTTTTCGTCTTGCGAGGCACCACTGTAATTAAACATGAGTTTCCAGGTAAACTCAGTCTTGAAGATGACCATCCCAGTGCCCAAATTATGAATGTCGTCCATGCCTCAGTAATTTCAGGGCTGGATTACTGCAACGGGCTCTTCGTGGGGCTTCCCTTGGGTTTTGTTCGAAAGCTCCAGGTGATGCAGAATGCAGTGGCTAGGCTGCTGATCGCAGCTTCTGGGCAATAACATGTGGGACCCTGGTTGAAGCATCTGTGCTGGCTGCCCATCTACTACTGAACCAGGTTCACAGTCCTTGTATTAATCTACAAAGCCTGTGGCCCAGAGTACCTCAGCAACCCTCCAAACCCTCATATCCCAGCTTGATCACCAAGATCATCGCTGGTCATTCCCCGAGTTAGTGAGGCTCATTTGACAACAGCAAGGAACTGAGCCTTTAGTGTCACCGGCCTAGTCCTGTGGAACTCTCTGCCACTAGTGATACAGCAGGCGCCTCCTGGGCCAACTTTTGAACGCCCACAGAAAACTTTTCTATTCTGCCAGGCCTTTGCAGGCAATGAAGACTAAATCATTCTGCAATGGGTTTATTGGTGTCTGTTTTAAATTTTTTAATGATTTTTATTAAAACAGTTTTGTGTTTAAGAACGATTTGGTTTACAAACTCCACAAAACCGGAAATAGTGTCTTGGTTTGAGAACTTTACCTCAGGCTAAGAACGGAATCCGAACGGTGGAAGGGCACCGGCAGCGGGAGGCCTCATTAGGGAAAATGCGCCTCAGTTTAAGAACGGGCTTCCGGAACGGATTATGGTACCACTGTAAACTACGCTGATTTTTTTTTAATGCCAAAGAGGCACACACATGTTTTAAAACTAGATTAATAATACACAATGTACAAGGTTGTGAAGGGTTCCCACTTCTATTACTGTGGCTTTGGCCAGGCCAACCCTTCAGCGCCACCAGCTGCTGACCCCCAAGCACAACCACCAAAGGCTCAGGCCATGGCTGTGGCAGCTAAAGGGGGACCCTCCCTGGCCCTCTGCTGGAGAGGAAGGGGCTACGGAGTGCTTTGCCCATGTCTCAGGTTGCGTGGGAGGATTCAGCAGGTAGAGCCAACATTGCTCCAGGGGTGGCCCCCCAGATGTTGCTGGACTCCACCTCCCATCATCCCTGATCACTGGCCATGCTGGCTGGGGATGATGGGGGGCGGTCCAACAAGATCTCTCGACCTTGCCTTTGCTCAGTTCAAAATTCAACAGCTGAATTGCTGATTAGAACCCTGAGGATGCAGAAATATCTGGATCTGGTCTGCATGGGAGAACGAATGGTGGGTGGACCTTTGGTTTTTTGTTTCGTTTGCAAGAAAGACATGGACAGGTGGCCTTCTGGGAGGCGATGAGCAGTTTTGGAAGGGGCTCCCTCGATTCCAGACTAGAGACAAGCAGCCGTGTGTGTGTCTGTGTGTGTGTGTGTGTGGTCTTTTTGCTAACGCTGTGCCTATCATTGTGGAATGTGGGGTGGCAAATTCCCTGATGTTCTCTCTCTCTCTCTCTCTCTAATCAGCATTTTGGTGTGTGTTTTTGAGAAACGTTGTTTTTTTGCCCCCTGCAAACTGGATTGCATGCTGTTCTTTCTTTCCAGTTTGGCTGGACCCATGTGACTTTGCTAATAGTTGTTACCCAGTCCCACCTCATCATTCACAACCTGTTTGAAGGAATGATCTGGTGAGTTGGCGCTGCTTACTGACTTTCTGCTGTGTAGCACAGACCGCCGGGCTGCCTTGAAGGACAAAGAACATAGCATGGGGACAGGCCTCTTGCATGGGGCATCATTAGTAGGAGCAGGAATCAATGGGCCGCTGGCTCATGCCTTGGGGCAACTGTTTGGGTTGGCATGATGAGATCTGGGGGGAGTTTACCTGGCATTAACCAGGCAAAAAGGAGGAATCCCAGTCGGCTTTGCTGTGCATGCACGTGCTCTTTCTAAATATGAGGCAGCCACTCAGTGGGCCTTGCACAGGAACTGCTCTCTGCTCAGCAAAAAAGCAGGTACTCTTCGGGCATTTTCCTGCATGAGGCTTAAAGTTCAGCTCTTGCTTCAGTCTGATTTCTAAGGCCAGCATACGACCGGTTCTGAATTAGTAGCGCACGAGAGGCCCAGAGGCAACTTAAGCTTCTTGTCTGAAAATGCCCTTGCAACCTGAATTGTGTGGTCTCCATCATTTCTGTCCTCAGGCTGCACACCTGCTCTTTTAGGGGAGTGCAACCCCATCCAGGACAGGGACGCGGGTGGCGCTGTGGTTTAAACCACAGAGCCTAGGACTTGCTGATCAGAAGGTCGGCAGGGAATCCCCGTGGCAGGGTGAGCTCCCGTTGCTCGGTCCCTGCTCCTGCCAACCTAGGAGTTCAAAAACACGTCAAAGTGCAAGTAGATAAATAGGTACCGCTCCGGCGGGAAGGTCAACGGCGTTTCCATGCGCTGCTCTGGTTTGCCAGAAGCGGCTTAGTCATGCTGGCCACATGACCCAGAAGCTGTACGCCGGCTCCCTCGGCCAATAAAGCGAGATGAGCGCCGCAACCCCAGAGTCGGCCACGACTGGACCTGATGGTCAGGGGTCCCTTTACCTTTAACCCCATCCAGAACAGGCTGCCTACTCCATTCCCTAACAAAATAATAATAATAATAATAATAATAATAATAATAATAATAATAATAATAATAATAATAATTTATTTATTTATTTATACCCCGCCCTCCCCAGCCAAGGCCGGGCTCAGAGCTCAAATTGCAAGCTTGGTGGCCTAAATGAAGCCACCAGCAGTTTAAAAAACTCAAGACCCTCTTGGGGCCCACGGTCTACTACTCCAACTCAGTCCAGCTAGGAGAGGCCCATATGGCAATGAGTGCCGTCACCTAATGTGAGACCTGGTCCATGTGTCCCATCTTCTCCAGGTCATCTTCTGGGACAATTCAGCCTAGCAGGAATCCCCACCCCCCACCGCAAATAGATCTATTGGCTAACCTGTCCTAACGGCTATCTCAGAGTGAAACCCTCACAGCTGGAGGGAGATCACTCTCATTTTGCCAGGTGCCAGAACAATTAATGACCATTCAAACCATGCCAGCGTGAAATGATAACACATCAAGGTTCCCACAACCAGTGTCTTTTCAGCTGGCTCTCACTTCTGCATAAATTGTAATTTCATTTGTCCAGAGGATAAGGATGGCTCTGGCACTTAGCAAGGGAGCTATCTGTAACATGGCTATCAAAATACATTTAGCGTAGCTTGTCAATCAGCATAGCAAATGCAGCCACTGGCAGGATTATCTGTTTTTATTTTATTTTTTTGCAGATCAAACCAATATTCACACCCTTTAAGTGAAAACATAGCAACTAAAGGCCAAACTAGGCATGGCATTCAGAAATGCCAACCTTAAAAAATGCATCAACAAGGGGGTTGGGAAGGCAAGCTAATAAATGTTGGGATTGTAGCAAACATGGAGAGAGAATTTAACAATATCCTCCCTGGAGAAAACTCTTCCCACAAAACTAGTATTTGCAGGGGTTGGGGAAAATCCCTCTGGACACTAGCGGGAAATTTCCTTTCAGGGCAAATAGAAGCTTCCAGCTGTAGCTTTTAGCATCATGTATAGTTAGTCCCTGAATGATAATGATAACTATCCAAATATTTCTCAGAACCATGATGTAAATTTTATCACAGAATGCAGAAACGTGTTTAGCACAGAAAAGCAAAATCTAGCTTTGGCAGCTAATATCTTTGAAAATAACCGAGGGGAGGGGTGTGAAAATCCATACACTTGAATGGTACTTGTGGTTTCTGAAAGCCGAAAGATCTGCTTACCAGCATGTAAATTCTCATTTAAACTGAGGTTTGAGAGAAGCTCAGGAGTTCTTTCTATAAAATGAAATTATGAAAGCACTATTAGGAGTGGGAGTTTTGCTGATTGAAATGGCGTCTGCTGGTTCAAATGAACGCATTCATCCACCCATCAGGGGACAGGCTTCCAGAGTGCGATTTCTAAATTAGCAGTTAGAACTCCCTGCTGGCAAGGAGATCTCTAGATCTGAGCCACAGCTGTGGGTTGCTGCCCCTTGCTGTCTCAAGCGTGTTTCTCTCCAATCCAGACAGGTCCTTTGAGTGGTTTATCTAGGTCTTCTTTCCTTCCCCGCTATCTAGGTTTATCGTCCCAATTTCCTGCGTCATCTGCAACGACATCATGGCCTACATGTTCGGCTTCTTCTTTGGACGCACTCCGCTGATTAAGGTTGGTTCTGGTCCCGAGATGGATGAACAACTCTTAGGAAAAGCTGTTTTCAGCTTTGGGTTTGAATGCCCGCCAGGGCATCTGGCCTGATTTGTGCTGTGTGAGTGTGTGGAGTGTGTTTGGCAGGTGCACTGGAGCACAGGAACGTAGAGAGATGCATTATACTGCATCAGACCATTGGTCCATCTAGTTCAGTATTGTCTGCACTGGCTGGCAGCAGCTGTCCAGTCTTTCAGGCAGGATACATTCCCAGCCCTACCTGCAGATACTGGGGATGGAGCCTGGGTCCTTTTGTCTGCAAGGCAGATGTGCCACTGACCTATGACCCTTTCCCAACAACAACAACAACAATAATAATAATTTATTATTTATACCCCGCCCATCTGGCTGGGCTTCCCCAGCCACTCTGGGCGGCTTCCAACAAAATATTAAAATACCGTAATGCATCAAACATTAAAAGCTTCCCTAAACAGGGCTGCCTTCAGATGTCTTCTAAAAGTCTGGTAGTTGTTTTTCTCTTTGACATCTGGTGGGAGGGCATTCCACAGGGCGGGTGCCACTACCGAGAAGGCCCTCTGCCTGGTTCCCTGCAACTTGGCTTCTCGCAGTGAGGGAACCGCCAGAAGGCCATCAGAACTGGACCTCAATGTCAGTACAATGGGGGTGGAGACGCTCCTTCAGATATACTGGACCGAGGCTGTTTAGGGCTTTAAAGGTCAGCACCAACACTTTGAATCGTGCTCAGAAACAAAACTTAGTTTTGGGACTTCTCTCCCGTCCGATGTGTTCATGGAGACTCTGGTGGCTTGTGCAGCTCCTCCCTTTTAACGTTCCTTGCCTGTTCCTGTATCTGCAGCTCTCCCCAAAGAAGACCTGGGAAGGCTTTATTGGAGGGTTCTTTGCCACCGTGGTGTTCGGCCTGCTAGTAAGTTGCTTCTTTCCCTTTTGGTTAAGAACAAAAGTCGTGTTTGGCTTCGGAGCAAGAGGCAGTGTTACCCATAAAGCAGCCTGATGGAGTTTGATGGTGGAAGTCTGGGGCCTGTTGAGGGCGATGGGCCTGCCCAGAGCACCATCAACCCACCAGGAAGTTCTCTGAAAGGTAGCCTGCTTTTGTGAATTTACAGACATCACCTGAGGCCCTTCGTGTGCTCCCTCCATGGGAGGTCCAGAGGGTGGCCACACGAGAACGGGCCTTTATAGTGGTGGCTCCTCACAATAAACATTTATTTCCAACGGAAGTATAGCTGCCCATTTCTGGTTGCTGACAGCGAGAAACAATAAACAGCTGAGTCTTATTGCTTCGTGGGTGGGGAATGTGGATCGCCTGTTTGATGGAAGAATCAACCATACAGCATACAGCATCAGAGACATGTGTCATCTTTTAGGGGTGACATTACAAGAAACACAAGAGCTACCTCCTTAGACGGCTCCCCTATGTTGGGTTCGCTCCTCCTGTAACATGCAGTAATAGCAATCTTGACTTCTGATCTCATCACAAGTGTTTCCCCCTACTCCAAATCACCAGTTACTTACCTAGGCAGGTAAAGTAACATATGTGATGCTATTAAGAGTCAGGTGAAAGTTTTACTACACAATAAGGCAGGGGAAGAGCTCAGAACAAGGGTGCGTTCTGCTGCAGGATCCTGCCTAGACTCAGCAGGATCCTGCAGCTCCTCATTACTGGAATGCTCTCCCCTTTGGGGGGGGGGGGGCTACTGGCGCCAGGCAAAAACTTTCCTCTTCAACCTGACCTTTGTCTTGTAACTATCTATTGCCTTTTTGCCTGGGTGGGATGTTTTTATGTAGGTGGTTTGTTTTGCTTCAGATATTGTAAGTCACTTGAAGTTGCTGTGGCAAAAAAAAGAAAAGAGCAACAATTTTGATAATAATAGTAATTCAGTTCAGGAATCCAGAACTGAAACACCCAAGTAGCTATCCAATACAGCAATAATATTTGGGCTCAGAGCCTGAAAGAAATGTAGGCAAAGCATGAGAATAATTCACACATTTCTGTCATGTCTGGTTCACAAGGCTCCTAGACCAGGGGTCAGCAAACTTTTTCAGCAGGGGGCCGGTCCACTGTCCCTCAGACCTTGTGGGGGGCCGGACTATATTTTGAAGGAAAAAAAAAGATGAACGGATTGCTATGCCCCACCAATAACCCAGAGATGCATTTTAAATAAAAGGACACATTCTACTCATGTAAAAACATACTGATTCCTGGGCCGTCCGCTGGCCAGATTTAGAAGGCGATTGGGCCGGATCTGGCCCCTGGGCCTTAGTTTGCCTACCCAAGCTCCTAGCCATCCAGCTGGTCCACTTAAAATAAATATCTGAAGGGATGTCCCATGAAAGACAGAGCAAGCTTGTTTTCTGCTGCTCCAGAGCTTAGGTCCTGAACCAGTGGATTCAAATGACGAGAAAGGAGATTTTAAATAACCTTTAAGAATACAGTGGTACCTCGGGTTATAGACACTTCAGGTGACAGATGCTTCAGGTTACAGACTCCGCTAACCCAGAAACAGTGCTTCAGGTTAAGAACTTTGCTTCAGGATGAGAACAGAAACCGTGCTCTGGCAGCGGGAGGCCCCATTAGCTAAAGTGGTACCTCAGGTTAAGAACAGTTTCAGGTTAAGAACGGACCTCCAGAACGAATTAAGTTCTTAACCCGAGGTACCACTGTATTCTGCTTGGAAGAGTGATTTGACAATGGAACAAACTTCATTGGTTGCTGTGGACTCTCCTTCACTGGAAGTTTTCAAACAGAGGTTGGATAGCCATGTTCACTGAAACCGGGAACCGACTTGTCTGTTTTTTGTTTTTTGTTTAAAATAAATAATATTTATTGGTATTTCAGCAAAATAACAAAAAACAATATCTCACAAATAAAAAAAAGAAAGAAAAAACATACAAAAAAACAAAAGAAAAGAAAGACAAAAAAACAACAACACATGTATAATTTTGCCCTTTATGTTCTTAAACCTTACTTTCCCGACCTCCTCATACCTCCCCTTACTGCATTCCAATCTCAAATTAATTTTTTTTCAACAAATCCTTCCCATAATTTCTTATTAAAATTTTTAACTTTCTTTCCATATTTACATAATGGTTACAGCAAACAACCACTTAATTTCAAAATCAGCATCATCTTAACATTCCACAATTTTACAATACTTCTTAAGATAGTCTTTAAATTTCTTCCAATCTTCTTCCGTCGTCTCTTTTCTCTGGTCTCGGATTCTGCCTGTCATCTCTGCCAGTCCCATGTAGTCTATAACTTTCATCTGCCATTCTTCCACAGTAGGTAGTTCTTCTGTCTTCCAGTATTTTGCAATCAGTATTCTTGCTGCTGTTGTAGCATACATAAAGAATGTTCTGTCCTTCTTTAACACCAATTGGCCGGACATACCCAATAAAAAAGCTTCTGGTTTCTTCAGGAAAGTATATTTAAATACCTTTTTCAATTCATTATATATCTTCTCCCAGAAAGCCTTAATCCTTGGGCACCGTACTTGTCTGTTTTGACTGTCGGACCCAACTTCTTCAGGAAATGCAATGGCACCCAGCACGCTTTCGCTGCGCAGTGCTGAGTCATTCCACTTCTCCCAGCTACAGCAGAGTTTCTTCGGTAGCAGTGTGCCTGTATGTAAGGATTTATCAGCACAGCAGTAAAACACTCTTACACAGCTTCTTCTAATCTACGAAGCTTTAATGTACAGCAGCAAAACAGTTAAGTCAGCCAGGAGAGAGCAATGACACCTTGCCTCTCCTTTGCAGCCAAAACAGAAAGTAAAAGTAAGTTCACCCCGGAACAGGATGTCATTTCCCTTGAGCTATTAACCCTGTAAGCTCTGGGACACCTCACAGGCCACCGGTCAGGGATTCTCTAGCTCTCATTTCTGCTTGCAGGGGCTTGGACTAGATGGCCCTTCCAACTCTGCTGTGGTTCCTTGGCAGTGATTCACCTTTTGCCTCTTCCGTTTCCCCCAACCCAGCTGTCGTATGTGATGTCTGGATACAGATGCTTCGTGTGCCCCGTGGAGTTTAACAACGACACCAACAGCTTCACCGTGGACTGTGAGCCCCCTGAGCTCTTCCAGCTGCAAGAATACAACATCCCCTTGGTGCTTCAGTCTGTCGTCGGCTGGGTAGGTATCCAGGTCGGAGCGTTCAGGTTTGGAAAACTTCTGAGAACATAAGGAGAGCTTGCTGGATCGGGCCAAAAGCCCAGCCTGTCCAACATCTTGTTCTCAGGGTGGCCAACCAGATACCTATAAGCCAGGACCCCCGAGCACAAGGGCACTCCCCCCTCCTGCGTTTTCCAGCAACTGGTATTCAGAAACTTTGCTGGTTCCAGCAGCCTCGCCTAGTAGTCATTGATAGCCCTCTCGCCCATGAATCTGTCCAACTCTCTTTTAAAGCCATCTAGGTTAGTAGCCATCACTGCCGCTTGTGGAGAGAGTTCCATAGTTGATAACTATGTGCTGGTGCCTTATTACAGAGGCTTTAGCTCAGGCTCGCTAAAGCCTCTGTAATAACTGTTCTGGTATTTCCCCCTTATTCCCTCATAAAAGATAAGACATGACACAGTCTTCTATAAAAGTATAAAAAGGTTTACTCACACAGCATTCTGTTCACAATCGGATCCCAGGAGGCAGACTTAGCCTAGAAAAGTAACATACACCTGGAAACTATCTCATAAGGAGACAGTCCCTTTGTCCTCTCTTGGCCAAGAGAGCATCTTTGGCAAAGCAAATGTTGCTTCTTCGATGCATGTAGTCAAAAAGAGAGAGATGGCTCTCCTGCCTTGTGCTTTTGTTGTTAGCTGCACAGGTGAGGCCACGCCCACCTCTAGTCACCTGCAGAGGAAGTTTGTCCCAGCCCAGAAGGAAACAGGAAGTTTACCTGCTGGCTGGACAAAGATTCCTCCCCATGTGTAAACATGTTCACTCTAGGAATGTTGTACTTGACTGCTTTTGAGTTTCACATCCCACCCCACACCTCTGAGGTAGGATAGGCTGAGAGGCAATGACTGGGGCCCCTGAGCTTTATGGCCAAGTGAGGATTTGAACCCTGGTCTACAAGGTCCTAGTTCAACAACCTAACCATTGTGTCACACTGTTTTACTAAAGCGGGTGTGTGCGATGATTGACAGCTACCAGCTTATACGTTCAGCAGAATCAAGCATCTTTCCCCGGTCTGTACCAGGGCAAGTGAGGGACGGTCTGAATCTACCCTACAAAAGCGAGCTCCTTCGTTGAGAAAATGAGGACGTTTGAGAGAAATGTTCTGCCTCTGCGTTTTGCTAGGTGCTGATGTTGTGGGAAGGGGATGTGTGCGGGGGGGGGGAGGATTTGTGGGGAGCACATATATATATAGTGCTTCCTCCTCCTACACAATTGCAGTCCAAAAATGGTACAGTCCAGAAAAAAAGAACAAATCTGCTGAACTTGTGGACACCCAAGGAAGTTGAATGTTGGGTGATTCAGTACAGATGAAGGAAAATGTTTCTGCACGCATTGTTAAACTAGGGAACTCCCTTCCGCAGGAGACACTGACGCCAACGAACTTGGGTAGCTTTCAAAGAGGACTGGGCAAATTCATTTAGGAGAGAGCTCAGCTCATGCTTCTGAATTCCTGTTGCTGGATATCGCAGGAGGGAAAGAGTGTTGTTGTGCTTGAATCCTGCGTGCAGGGTAACTGGCTGATGAGAACAGGATGCTGGACTAGATAGGCCATTGGCCCAATTCAGCAGGCTATCCTTACGTTCTTACACTGGTTTGACATCATCTGATAGGAAGTGGCTACAGAGGGTGGTGAATACAGCACAAGATATTATGGGCTGTCCCGTGAATCAGGAGAGTGAGGAAAATTCTCAGGGATGATTCACACCCTGGCCGGCACTTTTTTGATCTCCTGCCCTCGGGCAGAAGATATAGAAGCATGATTAGTCGCACCAACATGGTAAAGAACAGCTTCTATCCGTGGGCTGTTAGGCTGCTGAATGAAAAGATAACAACAGGGCAACTGACTTTTGGGTTTGGTGGGTGTGCGTCAGTAAACAAGGGGAAATTAAGACTAAGAGAGCTGAGTGGGGGGTGCTCGTGTAATCTCACTGTATACAAGTTGTACAAGTGACAATAAAGAATTAGCTTCTTCAACTGACAATGCCCCCCGCCCCCTTCTCCTTTCTCCAGAAAACAGTTCGGATGTACCCCTTCCAGATCCACAGCATTGCACTCTCGACTTTCGCCTCCCTCATCGGTCCCTTCGGAGGGTTTTTTGCCAGCGGATTTAAAAGAGCTTTCAAGATCAAGGTATGGCACAGCTGGAAAGGGAGGTGGCCTTGAAAGAGCATGGTCAGGATGGCAGGTCTATCGAACCCACTTCAGTTCTAATAAAACGTTCCCTGGAATATATTTGTTATCATTACATTTCTCTGTATCCTGCCTTTTCCCCAGACTCAAGGCAGCTTACACAGATTAAAACAACACAGATAAAGTACAAAAAAAGCTAAAAACATGTAAAATATTATTTTTAAAGTAATTAAAACTCTAATGGAATAGTTAACTAGATATTATATTATACCCCACTTTTATTATCTGCACATCAAGATGTCTTGCAGTGATAAAAATGTAGTTTACAAAACTTTAAACTGTTTTTACTGTATATGTAAATTTACAGGGGGGTTTTCTATAAAAAAATCAAATGTTTATATAAAATATAGGAGCTCGATTTCAAAAACAGAAATCCTTCTCCTTGAAGTCTGGGTTAGTAAACAAGAAGTGAAGCAATTTAGATTCCATAATTTCCAGTGGGGTGTGAACAGACTGAGGACTCTTTGTTTGGTAGGGGCTGATGGGGTTGGAAATTAGTGATGATCTTTTCCTCCTCCCTGTTTCCTGGTGTCAAGAGGGCAGGTGGGTTTGGATCAGGAATCCCCTCCACCTGCCAGGGCATACACACTCTCTACTTTTCTCCCTCGATTGCGCAGGACTTTGCCAACACCATCCCAGGGCACGGAGGCATCATGGATCGGTTCGACTGCCAATACTTGATGGCCACCTTTGTGAATGTATACATTGCAAGCTTTATCAGGTGAGATGATGGTTTGGTTTGGTTTGGTTTGGTTTGTTTGCAGGTCGCACCATCAATCCTTGGGTTCTCTTTTTCTCAAAAGTACAGTGGTACCTCGGGTTAAGTACTTATTTTGTTCTGGAGGTCCGTTCTTAACCTGAAACTGTTCTTAACCTGAAGCACCACTTTAGCTAATGGGACCTCCCGCTGCCACGCGATTTCTGTTCTCATCCTGAAGTTCTTAACCCGAGGTACTATTTCTGGGTCAGCAGAGTCTGTAACCTGAAGCGTATGTAACCCAAGGTACCACTGTATATGTTTATTGGCTTTTGAAAATGCAGCTGTAAAAAGGCAAAGAGATGTACAGCTCATTAAAAGGAGAACAAAGAACCACAACTGTGACTGAACGGAGTGCAGAGGTTTTTTACAACATCATCGATATTAAGAAATAAACATGGAGTGATGGGTCAGAGTGAAATCAGAACAGAAGCCATTAGTAAGAGAATTAATGGGTTGGGGAAGGGAGCAGTCAGAAACAGGTCTAGGCTAGGCAAAAGAAATATCCATCAAGAGAAAGGCAAATATCCCTCCAGAGCTATTCGTGAGTCATTGGAGGTTTGTATAATACGCTCTTATTGCTTATAAAAGTTACAAATGACTATCTTGAATGGGTCTGGTTTAGCCAAACCTCAGTTGACTCTGGGACTCTGAATCAAATATTCTGACGGTGCAATTTTCCCACACCATCTCTCATAATCCTTGTGTTCTCAGTTCAGAGGATAGGAGGGTGGAGAGAATGTGAGGCTGGGATCAAAGGGATTCCTCACTCAGTGTCAAAGGAGAGCCTGACGGTGGAATTGAAAGGAAGACTCGCCTTAGCCATTAATCCCAGTAGCAACATAAAACAAGGCATGGGTCTACAGCAGGGTTTTCCAATCCTGGGTATCCAGCTGCTTTTGGACTACAACTCCCATCATCCCTAGCCAGCAGTACCAGTGGTCAGGGATGATGGGGACTGTAGTCCAGCTGTCGACCCAAGTTTGAGAAACCCTGGTCTGTGGGAAGCCTCCCCTTCCAAACGTTCTCAGCCTGGTGAGGTGACGTGATTGCCTTATTCTTCTTCACTAGAGAGCCAGTGTGGTGTAGTGGTTAAGAGCGGCAGTCTCGTAATCTGGTGAACCGGGTTCGCTTCCCCGCTCCTCCACCTGCAGCTGCTGGGTGACCTTGGGCTAGTCACACTTCTCTGAAGTCTCTCAGCCCCACTCACCTCACAGAGTGTTTGTGGTGGGGGAGGAAGGGAAAGGAGAATGTGAACCGCTTTGAGACTCCTTAGGGTAGTGATAAAGCGGGATATCAAATCCAAACTCTTCTCTTCTTCTCACTCCAGAGGTCCTAATCCGAGCAAGCTGATCCAGCAGCTGCTAACTCTGCGACCAGATCAGCAGCTGAACATCTTCAACACGCTAAAGGCCCACCTGGTGGACAAGGGCATGCTGGCTGGCTCTGAGGATGCGTAGGCGCCTGTGTCGCCAGGATGGGACTGAGCATGGGCAAGCCCCTCACCCCCCCAGAGGAAACCCTCTCCCAGCTTGCCTGATTTAGGACAATAACCAAGCCTCGTGTCTCTCACTTCCTTTTCCATATAAAAGGTTTGCATTTGTGCATTTTTAAAAAGAAATGTATCTATATCTCTGTGGCGGTGGTTTGGAGCAAACAGAGGGGAGCTTTGAGCCGGGAAGGAACTGTGGCCCGGAAGGAGGCGCTCGGCTGATGGTTTTGGAAGGCGGTTTTACCCCTCGGATCTGCCCGGTGGTTTTTCTTATTCCCAGATGTGTATAGAAAGTCGTGCAAGGCTCGTTCTACTCTCAGAGCAGCGGGGAGAGGGAAGAGACAGGGAAGAGTGCCAAATAGCGTGGGTTAAAAAAAGAAAGAAGGCAGGGGTGTTGAATCAAAATTACCTGGATTATGCACCCCTGTTCCACCATCCTGGCTTCCTTATCCGTGAGATGGATCCGGTGCTGCGTATTGCATTTGGCAAACACCCAGGTTCCTAAGTCCAGCTTTCCCCAATCTGTGCCCCCGTTCACGCAAACATCCAACAATTTGGTGGTGCAGAGAGCCATCCTTAGTGCCATGTGTATAATGTTGAGTGGGTTTTCACAGAGGTGGGTTGGAGATCTTGCCCACCCCCAGGCCAGCCAAGAAAATTGGGATCCAGGGGCCCTTTGCTCACAGAAGCAGCTCGAGAGCCAGGAAGACTCGAGGACGGCGATGCCAAATGTCCTAAGTGGCGCTTCTGCAAGCGGGGGGGGGGGGGGCAAGGCCCTGCCCTGGAAACAGCTGCCCTTGTCTCGTTTCCGTGCAGGGGAAATCCCTGCCAGCAGGAGAAGGCGCTTCCTCTTCTAGCCCAGTTTCCTGCGCAGAAATGGATGCATGTTGCTCCCTGTCCCCATATTTCTTGCATTGCTGGCGGAAAAGGATGCAAAGTTCACCTGCTGCTGAGTTGTTCTTGATAAGCAGGAAAGATTGGGGCATTTATCTTTATGTTCCTGAAGCAGAGCCAACCATTTGCCACAGAAAAAAATTGGAAGACCTTGAAGGCAAATGCATTTTTATTTTTATTTTTTTAGGTTTTATTTCACAAATCCTGCTGAACATTTTTGGTTTTTTTTTTGCTGCTTCTTTTTTTAAGCCTTCCTTCATTTTGGATGGAAAGTACCTGAATAGATGGATATTGAGGCAGGATTAATAGATGGATATTGAGGCAGGACACCTGGCCTCCTGGGAACTTCAAGGGGTCGTGAAGGAGCAGAGGCTCGCCTGGGTGCCCTGCCATTGCATCGTCCAGCTTATGCCGCTGTTTTAGTCCCTGCTGTTGTGTGGCTCCTGTTTGTCTTCTGCCCCCTCTGGAGTCCTCGTTCCCAAGGCACTGGTCCCACTTTCAGTTGCAGAAAGGGACTCTCATGACTGAAAGCTCATGCATAAAAAAGGCATTATCAGGACTCAGAAAGCGAGAGGGTGAGGATAAAGAGTCTGTTAGTTTTCCATATGAAGGCGTGTTTGGGGTTTTTTGGAAAGAGGAAATTTCAACCACGTTGAGCCCCTGTCACAGCCTGAAGTGGTCCAGCCTTGATTCAGATTTACGCATGCTTTGAGATCTGGGCCTGAGTCATTGAGCAGCTGCTAGCTTAGGTGTAATACCACGCAAGTGTCTCTTGACGTGGTTCCACTTCAGGGTCAGCCTTGACCGTCTCTGCTGTCACTTCCTCTGTGACAGAAGAGAGTGCGTGAGGAGCAATTTGCGGTGGGCTGATTAGCTTTTTCTTCTTTTTTTTACGGTGTATTTTTGAAAGCTGCTCACTTATACTGTTTTGCTGCCTCTTCTGGTATATTCCCTCATCCCATCTGACCCAAACGCTCTCGGGTTCGGAGTCCAGGCATCTGAAACCACATGGTGGGAGAAGCTCATTGAGTTGAGGGGGCGTTGCAGGGAAAGATTTTTGCCCCACTCTTCCTTTTGCTCTGCTGTCAATATGCCCCCCCTCCCCAAAGGAAACAGTCTTTATTCCTGATCTAATGATGGCCTTTTAACCACAGCTGACCCCTAAATTGGACATACCTGCCATTTTGATGGGAAGTTTTGGGTTTTGAGACCTAAAAAAGGGCAAGCATGTGTGTGTGTGTTTTTGAACTTACTCAGTGTTTTGACCTTGGGGGAAGCAGGACAGATGCAGAATGGGTATGTGGGGCAACGAGTGGCCATGCAACAGTAATTAATTAATAAACAAAATTGGGGGAGGGGGTTCAAGGAGGGGTCTCTGTTTCATTGAAATGTCATTGACATTTCCTGATTCCAGCTAAATTCGGCTACTTGTCTGGTGGCCACAATCCCTTGCATCCTGCCTCCGAAAGGGAACTGGAAATGAACAGTGTATCCTAGACCTTTATAAATATATATATTAAAAAACCTGCAACAGCCAACAACACTTCTAATATATAAGGCTCGTTGTGTGCACTCTGTCTGGATAGGTGCGCGCTGTTCCGGGATTGCTTCTCATGCCAGTGCATTTCAGGTACTGGGTGGGTTCAGTGTCCCAGCGCATGAGTGACTGCTGGACATCCCTGCAGTCTACAGATCCTTGCAAGAGGCAGTCTTGGGTATAGGTCAAACAAATTGCTGGCATTTCTGTTGCGAAGGCACCACAGGAGCACCCCTGAGAACTGGCACTCATTTAAAGTTACCCAGAACAGGAAGAATTCTTATCCCGGTTTTAGTCACTAGATGACAACATTATGGACGGTTTTATGTTCGATATCTTTTTTGTTTTGTTTTTAATGGCGTATTAGTTTTCTCTTTCGGGGAGTTCAAAGAGGGCTGTGACCCAGCCATATTAGAAAAGGGCTGCTCAGGGATGCAGAACATTAACCCAGAAACAGCCGGTTCCTCCAAGGGGCTGAGGTGTAAGTGGGAGAGAATCTCTCCTGCCCAAAGGGAAGCCTGTGGTTCTTACTCCAGTTGCACACAGGTAGCAAAGGTCTGGCACATGGTAAGGGGAGCAGCAGGTCACAAGAGCCAGTTTGGTATGCACTGGAGTTGCTTAATGGGTTGTTAGTGGTGTGGGTGTATTTGCTGGTGAAAAAACCCTGAGTTGGCCTGGAGTTGAGCAGGATTAAATTGGGGCGCTGTAGCTATTACTTAGAGGAGTGTGTGCTCCATATTCTAGGCCTAGTCAGGCCAAAGTGTGTCCTTTTCCATGGTTGGCTGGCCTTATTGCCTGGCACACGGCACACGCGCGCACTAGCAAGCCAGGTGGAGCTGGAGGTGTGTTGCGCGTCACACCTGAGCCAGGTGACCTTGGCCCACCTCCCCACAATCGCAGTGGTAGCTGGGCCCTGCACACATATCACGGGATGGGGAAGGTGGATCCAGAGGGGCTGTGTGAGGAGGCTGGATTTCACAGGGGTTGGAGCTGGGCCCAAGTCCGGATTCTGCATTCTTTGGGGCTGAACTCAGTCAGGAGAGAGACACCGACACAAAGCAGTGTCTCTGGAGCAGAAGCCAGGCACTCACTTGCGAGGCGGTTGTGATGCTTTGAGTGGGGATCTGGAAGGCTGGCTGAGTGGAGTTGGGGACAGAAGAACTGGGGAACACTGGTCAACTCCCTCTCCCCCCAATTAAAAGACCCTTTGCTTAACTGGTACTGGTTGCTTAGCAGAAGTGTGAGATTTAACGTTTCAGGAGCTCGAAGGCTGACGTCCTCATAACTCCCCTTTGTTATATCAAAGAGGGGGTCCCAGGGCATATCTTTTGGGGTGCTCTGCCACTTGTATCTGAGGGGGACTCCTTGCCCCGCTTGCTAGCAAGGGCTTCCAGAAGGAATCCTTAACTGCCTCTAGACAACAGACTTCCCAAGCGCCAAAGCAGACTCTTCGCCATCCCTTTCCAACCTTTCTCAGTCCCTCCCTCCCCAATTCTTTCTGCTAACAGCTCTGTATGTTTGGAGGGGTAGCTTAGGTTGACAGAAGAGTCCCGCATTCACAATATCTAAAGCTGGCAATACAACCATTGTGCTCATCGGCATGTCTGTGTCAACGAGAACTTGTGAACCCCTTTGGTGACATCTTTCTGCACTCACAGACTCTCCCCTCCTGTTTTTCTTCTTCTGATGCGGATGTGCTTATCCCTTCCACAAATCCTCTGCTTTATTTCTCTGTGCTTTTGTCTTTTACAGGGGGTATGTTGGTGGTTGGTTTCTTTTTGGGTTTTCGTTTTCTTGCAGACACTTGTAGGCTTGCCTCTGTTACTTTTTGGTTCATTTGACTGTCAGAATGTGAAATATTATATAAAGGTATTTTATCCTATTTATATACGGTAATATTGTTAAATAAAAATGTATCTAAACTGTTTGTGTGCGTGTGCGTGCAGTTATTTACACCACACAGAAGGGTTCATTTTATTCTGTTTTTGTTTTTTGTTTTTTAAAATTTTTATTTGCATTTTCAAAAACAGGAACAGAGAGCATATTTAACCCCTCCCCTTCCCTCCCCCATCCCACTTACAACTTTGTACCAAAAACAGCATATATACTACTACTACTAATAATAATAATAATAAAATTTTATTTATATCCCGCCCTCCCCAGCCGAAGCCGGGCTCAGAGCGGCTAGCAACAGTAAAAATAACACAGTTTACATAAAATCACAATCAATTAATTGAAATGCATTCTAAAATCAATTCATTCTAAAATCAATTCATATATACTATATGATTGCCTGTCACTATACATATACTATATGACTGACTGTCACTATATTAAATGCCTGTTAAGATGTGATTGTACTCTACAACAGCAGGTGGCTGTGCTGGTTGGGGCCACTGTTGGGGAGTCCAAAATGTCTGGGGAGGCTGACCTCATGGAACACTGTCTGTGAGAGTCCCATGGACTGCAAGAAGATCAAACCTATCCATTCTTAGGGAAATCAGCCCTGAGTGCTCACTGGAAGGACAGATCCTGAAGACTTTGGCTCCAAGACTTTGGCCACCTCATGAGAAGAGAAGACTCCTTGGAAAAGACCCTGTTGTTGGGAAAGATGGAGGGCACAAGGAGAAGGGGACGACAGAGGACGAGATGGTTGGACAGTGTTCTCAAAGCTACCAGCATAAGTTTGACTAAACTGCGGGAGGCAGTGGAAGACAGGAGTGCCTGGCGTGCTCTGGTCCATGGGGTCACAAAGAGTCGGACATGACTAAACAACAACAAATTTTTGACATTATTTTTTAGGGGAAAAACCTAGTCTTATACACGGAAATATATGGTATATATAATTTTTTTTGTTTCGTTTCACATAATTTTACCCATTTTAACTTTAGCCATTTCAAACATTAAAATAAAAGGTTCATTCAAACCTTCGGACCTCCTTCCCTCCCTATATGGGTTCCGTGTTTAAAATAAAGTATTCTGCATCTTTTACCCTTATCCATCTATTATATATCCACAGTTACCATAGTTGATTCCACATTACAAGTGTCATTACATCCCTGCCAAAGGTTTAACTGTTTACAGTCGTCTTTTAAATATATGGAAAATTTACTCCAGTCTTTTAGGAATACTTGATTTTCCTGGTTTCTGACCTTCCCTGTCAGTTTCGCCATCCCTGAATACTCCCATCAGTTTAGTCTGGCATTCTTTTGTTGGTACTTCTCCACCTCTGGGCTAGAAGCATTCTCACTGCCATCGTTCCATGCATAAAAAGTATTTTATCTTCTCTTGGTAGCTCTTCACCTATTATACCATTTGGATCCCTTCCAATCGGGATTCAGGCCTCACCATGGGACTGAAACTGCCTTGGTCGCGCTGGTTGATGATCTCCGGCGGGCTAGGGACAAAGGTGAGAGCTGTTTCCTAGTTCTGCTGGATCTCTCAGCGGCCTTTGACACCATCGACCATAACATCCTTCTGGACCGTCTAGAGGGGCTGGGAGCTAGGGGCACGGTCATACAGTGGTTCCGCTCCTTCCTCCTGGGCCGTGTCCAGAAAGTGGTGGTGGGGGATGAGTGTTCAGACCCCTGGGCTCTCACTTGTGGGGTGCCTCAGGGTTCTGTCCTCTCTCCCATGCTTTTTAATATCTATATGAAGCCGCTGGGAGAGATCATCAGGGGGTTTGGACTGGGTGTTCATTAGTATGCAGATGACACCCAGCTCTACCTCTCTTTCAAATCAGAACCAGTGAAGGCGGTGAAGGTCCTGTGTGAGTGCCTGGAGGCGGTTGGAGGATGGATGGCGGCTAACAGATTGAGGTTGAATCCTAACAAGACAGAAGTACTGTTTTTGGGGGACAGGGAGCGGGTTGGTGTGGGGGATTCCCTGGTCTTGAATGGGGTAACTGTGCCCCTGAAGGACCAGGTGCGCAGCCAGGGAGTCATTTTGGACTCACAGCTGTCCGTGGAGGTGCAGGTTAACTCTGTGTCCAGGGCAGCTGTCTACCAGCTCCACCTGGTACGCAGGCTAAGACCCTACCTGCCTGCGAACTGTCTCGCCAGAGTGGTGCATGCTCTGGTTATCTCCCGCTTGGACTACTGCAACGCGCTCTATGTGGGGCTACCTTTGAAGGTGACCCAGAAACTGCAATTAATCCAGAATGCGGCAGCTAGACTGGTGACTGAGAGTGGCCGCCGGGACCACATAACACCGGTTCTGAGAGATCTGCATTGGCTCCCAGTACGTTTCCGAGCATGATTCAAAGTGTTGGTGCTGACCTTTAAAGCCCTAAACGGCCTCGGTCCTGTATACCTGAAGGAGCGTCTCCACCCCCATCGTTCTGCCCGGACACTGAGATCCAGCGCCGAGGGCCTTCTGGCAGTTCCCTCATTGCGAGAAGTGAGGCTACAGGGAACCAGACAGAGGGCCTTCTGGGTAGTGGCGCCCGCCCTGTGGAACGCCCTCCCATCAGATGTCAAAGAGATAAATAATTACCTGACATACAGAAGACATCTTAAGACAGCCCTGTTCAGGGAAGTTTTTAATATGTAATGCTGTACTGTTTTTAACGCTGATTGGGAGCCGCCCAGAGTGGCTGGGGAAACTCAGCCAGATGGGCAGGGTATAAATAATAAATTATTATTATTATTATTATTATTATTATTATTATTATTATTATACCTAGTAGAAGGGCTTCTGGGTTTTTTAACAAATGTATTTTTAAACATTTTTTTAGTTCATTAAATATCATTTCCCAGACAGCCTTTACCAATGTACATGTCCACCACATATGGTAAAGAGTACCCTCCTTCCCTTTACATTTCCAACACAAATTTGAACTAGTTTTAAACATTTTCGCAATTTCAGTTGGTGTTGGATACCAACGACACATCATTTTCATATCATTTTCCTTCAATGAACAGCACGCAGTAAACTTTATGTCCTTTTCCCCAAGATGAAAGTTTTATATTATAAGCAAAATCTCTAGCCCAGTGTATCATCACTGCCTTAATTTTTTCATCATTCATCCGAAAGCAATTTGTACGTTTTTGATAATACAAATTTGTAGCATTGTTCACAGTCTGGTCTAAAGGTGACGCCACACTCGCGGCATGTTGCCAGATGTTTCCCACAGTCATGAGCTGAGTTGCACACGCAAAACCCGTAATACTTTCTGGTTGTAATCTCCCCCCACCCCCAGGGCCGGATTTACGTTTGATGAGGTCCTAAGTTATTGAAGGTAATGGGGCCCTTTATATGTCCAGCTGTCCTTTGTCAACAACAAATCACCACTGTTTTTTGTGTTGAATATATGCTATATAGTAATTTATGGACCTAATAGGTATCTAAAGCCATTTGTGCATGCAGAATGTAGGCAACCTATATATAGAAATGAGCAAACCAGTGATATTTTAGGGAGCAGGCTAGCAGGCGGGGCCCATTACTTACATCATAGGAGCCTAAAGGTAAAGGACCTCTGACAGTTAAGTCCAGTCGCAAACAACTCTGGGGTTACAGCGCTCATCTCGCTTTACAGGTCGAAGAAGCCGGCGTTTGTCCACTTCCGCAGACAGTTTTTCCAGGTCATGTGGCCAGCATGACTAAGCTGCTTCTGGTGAACCAGAGCAGGGCACGGAAACGCCATTCACCTTCCAGCCGGAGGGGTACCTATTTATCTACTTGCACTCTGATGTGCTTGCAAACTGCTAGGTTGGCAGGAGCAGGGACTGAGCAATGGGAGCTCACCCCGTCGCGGGGATTCGAACCGCCGACCTTCTGATCGGCAAGCCCTAGGCTCTGTGGTTTAGACCACAGCACCACCCGCGTCCCCACATAGGAGCTTACACAACACAAAACACTGTTGCTGTATGTAGGTTTTATTTTATTTGTTTTTTATCTTATATATTGGAAATGTACATCCGGGTTTTTTTCCTTTAAATTTTTTGGGGCCCCCCAAGAGAGAGGGGCCCTAAGCTATAGCTTGTTTAGCTTATACCTAAATCCGGCACTGCCCACCCCCCAGTGCATGAGTGATGTACAAGCTGCAGCCCCCACTTCCTCAAATGCGCTAACACAGCAGCACCCATACAGCTCCATGAACCAAGCCTGCAAACTGTTTCAGGGTGTGTGCATGTGCCCGTCTTACTCCACGTTTGCACGTTAGTAGGGAGCTAAATGCGGCTAGAGCTCAGGTGCTCTCCAAAGTCCTTGGAGGGATGAGGGGGGGGTGCATGTTGGAAATAAACTGATATTTACATTGCACCTGGAAATTGAAGAGACTGAACTGGAAAATAGAAAAAGAGAAGTCCTTTGGGTTTCTCACAGAAGATCACAGGAAGTTGTTGGCAAACCAACGTCAACCGAGACTTTTTCTTCTTCTTTCAAGTAAGCCCAGAAGGAAATTAAATAGATCTATAGCACGCACACACAATCTGTGGAGGAGATTCAGACCCGCAGTTCAGACACAGTTGGGCAAACCTTCCCGCCGCTGGAACTGGGATGTCTCTCAAGCTGCCACGGAATTGGGATCTCAACCTGAAAGTGGATATGTCTAAAATAGGTACGGCTGTTTTTTCTTGACTACATTTCTAGATGGTCCTCCCTCATTTTGTCCTCTCAACGACCTGGCAAGGGAGGCCAGGCTGAGACAGAATGACTGGCCCAAGGTCACCCAAAGAGCTTCCTGGCTGAATGGGGATTCGAACCCAGATTTCTCTGGCCCTTGTCCAACGCTCTTGCTGCTCTTGTTTCCTTAATCTCTTGCGTGTATCTAGGACTGCTTGGGTTTCGTGAGAACTTGGAAGTGAAGCTCCCCCTTTTAGCCAAAGGCAGGCTTCCTCTGCTGTCGCAAACCTCTGCACAGCATTTTCCCCAGGCCGTTTTGGGTTACAAAAAGATGTCCAGATTAGCTTACCTCATCTCAGACAT